TCAGCCTCCCTCTCCAGAACTATTTCATGGTGAGTTGGATAAGTGTGCAGGATTTCTCACACAACTCACTTATTTTTTTCGTCAGCAAATTCACTTGTACCCTGGTGATGGAGATAAGATTTCATTCTTTGTGCAACTGTTACGTGATCGCGCACTACAGTGGGCCCAGGCAGTGCTGCGATCCCACCCCGAAATCTCCTACCCCGATTTTTTTGTCTAAGTTTAAGAGCATTTTTGACAAAGGATCCGAGGCTGCCGCCGCCGCTCAACGCCTGTTAAATCTCAAACAAGGTAGACGTAGGATGTCGGATTATTCTGTCGATTTCTGGGTTTTGGCTGAGCAAACGGGGTGGGGGCAGGAAGCGCTGAAGAGTGCCTTGCTAAATAACATCTGTGATGAATTGAAAGGCGAACTGATAATGCATGACCTGCCTGCCTCTCTTGACTCTCTAATGACTCTGTGCATTAAATTGGATGATCACCTTCGGGCTCGCAGAGACCTCCGGGGGCGGGCCTTTCAGGAGCCACGGGTGCTCATGGACCCACCAGCGGGGGAGTGGAGGGCTAAACCCAGTGCTGCCCACAGTGGCGAGCTAAGCAAGGAAGGCGAGCAGCCCATGCAGCTGGGTCGCTCACGGCTAACACCCGCGGAACGTCAGCGACGCATGGTGTCTGGTGAGTGCCTGTATTGCGGCCGTAAAGACCACTTCATTGCCACCTGTCCATCTCGACCAAAAGGGGGCACCCACCCGTAGTTAAGGGAGTACTGGTGGGCGACCTGTCTAGTAATAGCTCCCTTCCGCGCTTAATGTTACTGGCCAAGTTAACAGTCTGCACAAAGACCCATTCTGTGATGGCGTTAATTGACTCCGGCGCGGAACAGAACTTTATCGATTCAGCCCTCGCGGAAGAATTAGGAGTTGGTTCTGACCCTCTACCTCATTGTTTACATGTCACCGCCTTATCTGGATAGCAGCTGCCTAATATAACCCATGTCTCAGAGCCCGTGTCACTCACACTCTCCGGCAACCACACCGAGGTGCTAAGCCTATTCGTCTTTAAAGCTCCTCAAACACCGCTTGTCTTAGGTCATCCCTGGTTGCGACAGCATAACCCTCATATTGACTGGAAATCCGAATGCGTGGTGGGCTGGGGAGTGGATTGTCACATGAATTTCCTCCGGGCTGCTACTCCGCCCTCCGCGTCTCCTCCAAATAACCTGTCTGAGCCTCCGGATCTCACCTCTGTTCCACCTGTGTATCACAACTTGGCTGAGGTTTTTCGTAAAGATCGTGCACAATCGTTACCACCTCATCGGCTGTATGACTGCGCCATTGATCTTCTCCCAGGCGCCACACTTCCCACCTGTTGCCTTTATAGTCTCTCCCAACCTGAGAGAGCATCTATGGAGAAATACATCATGGACTCACTGGCAGCAGGCATAATCCAGCCGTCCTCTTCCCCTGTGGCAGCTGGCTTCTTCTTTGTAGAAAAGAAGGATAAGTCCCTCCGCTTTCAACACCCATCTGGGGCATTTTGAGTACCTGGTGATGCCCTTTGGCCTGACTAACGCCCCAGCAGTTTTCCAGGCCCTCGTAAATGACGTCCTCCGGGACTTTATCAATCGGTGCGCGTTTGTCTACTTATCTTCTCTAAAACAGTGGCGGAGCACGAGACACACGTCAGACAGATTCTGCAGCGTTTGCTAGAAAACAGACTGTTTGTGAAAAGCGAAAAATGTGACTTTCATGTGGACTCCGTGGCCTTTCTCGGATACATAATAGAGCGGGGTGATCTAAAACCAGACCCAGCGAAAGTCCAAACAGTGCTTACCTGGCCCGAACCCCCAAACCGTCGACAGCTCCAGCGCTTTTTAGGCTTTGCCAACTTCTACCGCCGCTTCATTCGAGATATCAGTAAACTCGCTCTGCCTTTAACCAGAATCACTTCTCCTAAAGTGTCTTTTCAGTGGGACCAGTCTGCGCAGGAGGCCTTCCTACATCTCAAAGAACGGTTCGCTAGAGCGCCTATCCTCTGCCAACCCGACCTCAAACAACAGTTCGTCGTTGAGGTGGACGCGTCAGATTCCGGGGTCGGAGCGGTGTTGTCCCAACGGACGGAGGGTAAGCTCCACCCGTGCGCCTTTTTCTCTCACCGTCTCTCCCCAGCAGAGCGCAATTATGATGTTGGAGACCGGGAACTTCTGGCTATCAAGTTAGCACTGGAGGAATGGAGACATTGGCTAGAGGGAGCCACTCAACCATTCATCGTGTGGACAGACCACAGAAACCTGGAGTATCTCCGAGCCGCAAAGCGACTCAATCCCCGGCAAGCAAGGTGGGCTCTCTTTTTCACGAGTTTCAACTTTTCAATTACTCACAGACCCGGGAGCCGCAATGTGAAGCCAGACGCCCTCTCCTGACTGTATGACTCCTCTGAAGCGGAACCCGAGCCAGGTCCGATTCTTCCAGCCTCCTGCTCCATCGGCACGGTGACCTGGGAAATCGAATCTCAGATTAAGGAAGCTCAGAAAACAGAACCAGATCCCGGGACCGGGCCCCCAGGTCAGTTGTTTGTGCCCTCCTCTGTTCGTTCTCAGGTACTGCAATGGGCACACGCCACCCGGTTCACCTGTCACCCGGGGGTACACCGAACCATACAATTCCTCCAGCATTACTTCTGGTGGCCCACTTTGGCTCGGGATGCACGGGAATACGTTGCCGCCTGCACGACCTGCGCCCATAACAAGTTGTCTAACCAACCCCCCTCCGGATTGCTACGACCACTACCCACTCCGGGACGGCCTTGGTCCCACATAGCCTTGGATTTTCTAACCATTGTGGACAGGTTTTCTAAAGCTGTCCATTTCGTTGCCTTGTTCAAGCTGCCTACGGCCCTGGAGACCGCTCACCTCCTCACCACGCATGTGTTCCACCTCCATGGAATTCCAGAGGACATTGTGTCAGACCGTGGCCCCCAGTTCACATCGCGGGTCTGGAGGGAGTTTTGCTCCGCCCTCGGCGCTAAGGTTAGTCTGTGCTCTGGATTCCATCCTCAGACTAACGGGCAAGCTGAGCAGGCGAGCCACGAACTGGAGGCTGCTCTGCGGTGTGTGCTGTCCACAAATCAAACGACCTGGAGTGAACATCTGCCATGGATTGAGTACGCCCACAATTGCCTGACTTCCTCAGCCACTGGAGTTTCACCTTTTGAGGCGTCATTAGGATTCCAGCCTCCGCTCTTTCCAGCCGTTGAGGGTGACCTCTCTATGCCGTCCGTCCAACACCACCTGCGTAGATGTCGCTGGGTGTGGAGAACCACCCGAGCTGCCCTCCTCCGGACGAAGGCACGTAACAAACAGCTCGCGGACCGCCATCGGACACATGCGGTCCGACAAAAGGTATGGCTGTCCACCCGCTATGTGCCCCATTCGAAATCGGTGCGCTTGTGAACCCTGTGTCTGTTCAGTTGAACCTTCCACGCAACATGCGTGTCCACGACGTTTTCCATGTCTCCCAGATTAAGCCCGTGCTCTCCAGTCCTTTGTGCCCTCCTTCTGGGCCCCTGCCTCCCGCCCGGTTCGTTGATGGGCTGCCGGCGTATGGCGTCTCCCGCATTATGGACTCCCGGCGCTGGGGGCGGGGGGTCCAGTATTTGGTCGATTGGGAGGGCTACGGGCCGGAGGAGCGCTCCTGGGTGCCTCGCTCGGCTGTCTTGTGTCGGCGCCTGCTCCGTGACTTCCACTGCCGGCACCCTCGTAAGCCCGGTGGGTCGCCGGGAGGCTCCCGTTGAGGGGGGGGTGCTGTCAGGGTCCCTGTGCCTACCCGGTTGGCTCAGTATGGCTACATATGTTTTTGTATTCTTTTTTTTGTTCCTGCTCTCTCCCTTCCCCCCCTTTCCCTCCTCCCTCTGCCTGGGCGGAGCTCACCTGTGGGCTCCTGCTCTTGGCCCACGCACCTGTGGCTCATCACGAGTGATCCAGCTCCTTTATAAGATGGCAGCTCTGTGTTTCTCGTCGCTGGACCGTTGCCGACCCTCGTCAGTCGCAGTGTGACAATTTTTAAACATGTTTCTAAACAGGCTCCACCACTCTGCAGTCTGCCCCCCCAACCCACTACTAGCAACCATCATGATCCCCCGGCCAGCTCCTTTCGCCAACCTACACAGCTATGCGGCCTCCCCAGCAAATAGTCTGCGTTCAGTACCTTTTCTAACGACTGTATGCTTTGAAACAATAAGCTGCATCACAATTACATTGTAATCTTAACTTCAAAACACTAATTTATGCTGCTGAATATCATCTTATTTTGCTTTTTTAGATTCCAGAGAGTCTCAGGCCAGTTCTAAAATTTTGTACTATGACATTTTATGAACAGGCTAAATTGTAAATAGTTCTAACAGATTGAACTACTTGAACATGAATGCAAAATGTGAAGCCATCACTTATGAATATCGTTGTTTTTCTCATCACAATGCTTGTCCAGTTTATCACAAGCCAGTATTCTTTGTGTTATTGTTTTTTTTAACAGATGCAGCCTTCTAAAAACGTATAACCATGGGGACAGAGCTGATCAGAGAAGTCGAGGACCTCCGTGAGGAGTTCAGAGCCTCCGTTAATCTTGCAGCACTGAACCTGTTGATGCCGGTGTATTGCCTCTGGATTAGCCTTTTAACAACATAGATGAGATGAACAATGCAGAGGCAACTCTGCAATGACTAGAGGCAAATGAAGCACTGGTAAGTTCTTAAAGGTTAGGGGACTTTTGTAACCCAGAACTTTAAAAATTGTCCAAGTTGGTTAAACTGCTTAAAAATGGCCTTCTGCTGTATGTTCTGCTTGAATATACAACAACAGGCTATCGTTGGAAGATCCAACAAATCGGAATAGAAATATATTTCACTGCAAATGGTTTGGCTTATTTATTTTATCTCTAGAAAATTAGGCTTTGAGCTATTCAACTAATGGCTCTTTGGGAATCGGCGAAGCAGCAGTTTGCTGGTTTCTGCCTTGTGACTTTCATATTAATCAACCTAGTAGTTTAGATGCTTTCTCCCTGCTGAAGACAATTGACAAGAGGTTATTCATATTTAAGATCTAATTTGGTCTTTTTTTCTTCTTCGTTTTGTTTGTTTTTGTCCTAGTTGGCCTAACTCGACAGGTAAACGCTGTTTCTGAGTTTGCCTTTCCCCGAGCAGTGCAGAAATGTCTCTGCTATGCTCCAAATCGGATAGCTGGTGCAGGATGCCCGATACCGGAGTAAACATTTAAAAAAACAAAACAAAAAAACTGACTTGGACCTAATACATGTAACAAAGAACCTTTTTCATATCATAAATTACTTTGTTATTGATATAGAGATTTCTGTCATTTTTAATTGCATAATGCGAGATGCTTCATATTATAGGGATATTATTATGGACGTGACAAATTGTAAGATAATGTCCAGCATATAAAGGGTATCCTGTTTGTGGATCATACACAGGGATTCAAGGAGCTTTATTTGTCATTCGCATCACATGTTAACATGAGGTGGAACAAAATTATGTACACACGGTCCCGGAGTGAAAAGAAACAAAAATAATGAAGAAGAGGAAGGGTTTTGTTTTGTTTGTTTTTTTAGTAATAAATAAATAGTTGGGTTTTTTGTTTTTGTTTTTTAACAAACAGGAATGACAAGTAATAAGAAAATACAATAAATAATAAGTAGAGTGCAACAACCTGAGTACCAGGGAACCTCCCCATTTATCTGGGCTTAGGACTAGCACTGGGACTCCACTGGCCTGTGGCTCCCCCATGGCTGGCTTATCAGATGGGTTTCCCATTATTTTCAGTAGCTTTTTGAAACAGTTTTTTGATCTAAGTAGACATGTCAGGCATACATTTTAACAACTATGTAGCTCTTTGTAGTGAGGTAGAATGATTAAACAAAGCTTAGATTTATTTGATCTTTCTCCAAATAGGAGTAAAGACTTTCTGGAGGTGTTACAGAAATGACCAAAACCCCAAAATGAATTGAAATGTTTAAAAATTTTAAAAACTGTCTTCTTTTGTTTGGTTCTCTATGTCTGTCACAACAAAAAAAAATCACATTTAGAAACTTTAAAATGTCAGATGACACGTGATTACATTCATCTTTTATTTACAGTCTATTGACCTAACCTGTGACGTGTATTGAAAAGCTCTCAATGCTATCTCCCATTCACTCGACCTGCTCTTTAGTGAGTTTGTGTTCAACAGACTGTAAGTGACTCTTTAGAGATTGTTCACTGAAACAGAATGAGCTCGCCGGTCCACTCAGATGATTCAGTAAAGTCACAGGAGTGGAAGGACGAGGTTTCCCACTCACAGAGTCACTGTGGCTTTCCTCTAACAGCCTGGTCATCAGTAGAATCATCATCACTGTCTGCATTTAGATTTTTGTGCCTAACCTCTGTATTGCTCGACATTTATTGTTCCAAAACTGGGTGATAAACCGTGAGGGCTGGATTTCCAATTATAGTGACAAAAAACAGAAATCTTGAAACTGGATTTGGAAAAAAATGGTGACTGGAATTTGAATGGCTACTTTGTCTTCATTACATCAGCAGCAAAGACCTCAAAAAGCTGGATTTTCCTGTTCAACTGGACTAATGTGGTAACCGATGCTGACTCCATCATGCTGTACTTCCAGGTGGTGATACTCGCTGCTACAGTCATGCTGGTTTACTACTGTGAGTTCACTGACACTTTCAGTCCAGCAGAGCAGGGCTTCATTTGCAGAGATCCCACTTTGACCAAACCTGATCCTGGACCTGAGCAGAACAGCCGCATGCCACCTATAATACTGTACTCTGTGGTGAGCGGACTACCTGTTGTACTGGTAAGTCAATAGAGCTACAGAAAGCCATGCGTGTTAAAGGACTGTTAGTATCTGTCAGTTAGTCGATATCTGCAGTGGATGGAACCATGCATTATTGTGCATTTCACAGCAGGTAAAATAAGTATTGAACATAAGTATTGCAGCAGGTCTCTGCAGGTGATTTCAGCAGTGCTGGAACAAAGTTCCACAACACCTTCTCAAAGTCATCAATATCTCTGAGCCCCCCACCGTCACGGCAGGGTGAGGCAGGCATGCTGTTCGAGTGGATATGTGCAAACTTTCTCCATGTGTTGGTGTTGTTCCACCTGTATCCTTGATCTGGAAGCTCTGTCCTCCTTCCACACCATACTGATATTCATGGGGAAACTGAGTCTGATGTTCAGCTGGGAAATTGTCTTTCCCATACCTGCACAGGCTCAGTCTCTAATATTCACCCTCTGTAAACACTTTGCTGATGAGCTTATGGTCAGTTTTGTAAATTGTGGTTATTTTAAGTGTCAGAGAGGATGATTATCCAGTGTATGTTTCCTGATTGTGTGATTGACGGGTTGTTAGTCGACGTTAACGGAGTTGCAGTCAGAACCACGCCCATCGCATATAATTTTAAAATACTAAAAAGGTGAAGATGAAACGTGCAATAAGGCTTCATAATGGGATTTCACAAACTGGAGGGTAACATCATGGTGGCTGTGTTTGTCTTTTCTGCTGTTTGTGGTTGCTGTACGTGGCTGTTTGGTAGGCCCCGCCCACCTCTGCATTAGCTCTGCTGATGTTTTCTCTTCAATGGGTCAAAATTAGTGTGTGGCTAAAATAGCAGAGGATGAACCTTCAATATTTTTTTTCTCAACAAAATGTCAAATGCTAATGCTGATACATGGGATATGGGTTTTACTGCATGTCAATAACATATCACATAAAAACATGTGAACAAATAAAAATTTGATTTAATAGTAACTTTTAAAATCAAAGCTACATCATTGCAGCAAATTACTGGAATATGACAACGCCATCATTACTGCAAACTTTTCAGTACTGTATACTACAGCTAACATTTTCTCCAATGTATTCTTATTTAATTTATTTTGTTTTTCATTCTGTTTTTTTTCTTCTTTTTCAGATTTCAGGGGTGGAAGTAGTCATCTTCCTCTTTTACTACAACTCAAACAACTTTTATGAGCAGGAGAAGGTTGTTGTCGTGGGAGACTGCTGCTATGTTAACCCCATGGTGCGCAGGACTGTCCATTTCCTTGGTAATGTAAGACCAGCCCAAAATATTCCCACCATTGATTAACCCAGTTGTCGTGTCTGACATTTTTAAAATGTCCTTATAATAATGTTCTGGGCTACTGTAGAGCTAAACACAATTATGGTGTCTCTTCTAACGTTTTAGGATCAGCTATGTTTAAAATGGCCATTTTCACAGAATTTAAATGAACCGTCTATAATGTAGCCTATGTGAGTTATGCAATAGTTATGTTGGTTTAAGTTGTATACAAATATCACCTGTGTGTCTTTCTGTAGGTGTCTTTGTCTTTGGTTTGTTTACAACAGACATTTTTGTTAGTACTGGTCAGATGGTCACAGGAAGTCTGGCTCCCTACTTCCTGTCTGTGTGCCAGCCCAATTACACTGCTCTCGGCTGCCAGGATACAGCGTTCTTTGTGAGCCAGTCAGATGGCTGTACTGGTGACCCTGATGACATCATCAGAGCCAGGAAGACATTTCCCTGCAAAGAGGCTGCACTCAGTGTCTACTTAGCTGTTTACTTGGCAGTGAGTAGATCTGTCTTTAAATAATCCAACAGTCTTCACCAATGTCAATAAAGTAATATTTGGTTAAAGTGTCAGAGAAATAATCTTCCTTTTCAGATGTACATCATGTCCTGCGTTGGATCTGCAGTGGGGCGTCTGGCTGGGCCCTTTGTCAGCCTTTCATTGGTCAGTCTGGCTTTGCTAACAGGCATCAACAGAGTGGCTGAATATCGTAACCACTGGAGTGATGTTATAGCAGGACAAGGCATTGGTGCTGCTGTTGCTGTCTTTCTGGTCAGTTCCTGTTATTATTAGACTTATTCATATCAGTGTAGACTTCATTAGTGGGTCATTATGAAAAACAGATATGCCAATAAACACAGCATTTTATGCTAGCTCAAACCTGAAGTTAAATGACTGCTTATTTGTAAACCCATAGAAAACCTCAACCTTCAGTACTCTGTGGTGTTAGGTCTGCTGTAGTGAACATGTAATGTTTGAAGATCGAATATATATATATATA